CCTTGGACAACTTAAGTCTCAGCTTTAGAGGACAGCAATGGCAAACCTCCTCTGAATAAATTTTGCCAGGAAAGCACCATGACAGAGTTGCCATAATTCAGAAAAGGCATATAAGAATAAAATTTTAACATCCCTATTCCAGTTGAAGCTACTGCATAAGGCCTCTGCCTTGTTCACAGAACTTTATAGGTGACCATGCAAGCCACAGTGCCATAAGTCATAGTTATATGACCATTCAGGGTCATAGCACAGGCACTTTTCAATCTCTGCCATTTAGTGAGTCTTTCAGCTCTATCATCTTCCCAAGTGATGAGAAGAATTTTACTACTGCTTCAAACTACTTATTGCATGGTTAAGTGTGACAGAAAGTTGATACTTTACTATGACTACACAGGTATCCTACCAAGTGGTTTCATTCAGAGGTAGCTCAGTGAAAATGATGGTCATCTTTTTTACTGCAGATTTCATAAGATTCACATAGTGATTATAGATGACATATATTTATACATCTCTGCAAAGATGTGTGTGTGTGAGTGAGTGTGTTACGCTGAGTGTCTAAACTAGTTTTGAGAATGGAGTTAAACTGGAGTTTGTTTGGAAGAAAGGCATTTTCACCTTTAACTATTCATTTCTTGTTTTAAAAAATCCTCCCACACTGAAAGTAAAAGAGGGAAATTCAATTAGCTCCAGGAATGGTATACATTTCCCATCAGTTTTTGGGGATGGATGTTTGGTGATGGGGAAGGCTTTATCTTATAGATCCCAAGTATCCCCTGATCTGACCCATCACATGCTCTTTCCTAGGCTCTTCTCTCTCAGAATTTGAAGCTTCAGTGGGGAGCTACGTCTTCCCTCCAAGGGCAAATTTCTGGCTTCAAAGAGATTCAAATCTCCTACTGACCTTCTCATACTCCGCTGGGGGACCAGAGAATTGCAGTCTAAGGGCAGGATGCAGACCGGCACTTTAGGGCATTCTGGGGGTGGAGTTGGGGTGGGGCAACTGCACACTGGCTGCCTTGACTCCACCCTGACGCCGTGCACCCGTCTGCACGG